AATTCAAGGTAGCAATGGATCATATGAGCTTGCTGTTGTGCCCTAATGCAACAGGTGATTTTAAGTGCATACCCATGCTTGTTTATCACTCAAAGAATCTCTGCTTTAAAATGGAAAGACAAACGCTTTGCCCATTATCTGACAAGCTTGTCAGCATGGATGACTGAAGCCTTATTGGTTGACTGGGTCAGTCATCATTTTATTCGTGAAGTTATGCTTTATCTGCACAACAAGAATTTTGCATTCAAATTTCTCCTGACTCATTGATAATTTCAGTGCTTATCCTGAGTTGTTGCAGGGTTTGAGCCCAAATGTAAAGGTTGTTATTTTGCCACCAAAAATGATATCCTTGATGCAACACTGGATTAAGATATAATTAAGTCAAGTGCATCTATACACTCAGTGTTGCAGGAACTCCATGCAACAAAGTATGATGACTCAGAGCTTGTAGTCTGATACTACAAACTCTGAGTCATCAAAGCTGAGCCACTCAAAGCTGCATAGGATAATATGCCCAAATCAACAATGAATACAGGCTTGGGAAAATTGTGGCCTAGTTTGGTAAATAATTTCTCAGGTTTTCCCTTCATTTGAGAGTCAATCCCTCAAAGCCCTCTAGCTGAGGGCTTTAAAAGCATGCCGCCAGAAGAATTTGGTAAACTCCTAGAGGATGATATGGGAGAAAGAATTCCAAAGAAAATATTAACCAAGCTAAATTCCCAGATAGAAGGAATTAGATAATAGAAGAGGCTGAGGAAGAAGAGCCTGCAGAGAAATGGTTTACACCACATCAGTTATGCGAGTAGTTTCATGTTGCTGCTTAAGTTGCAGCTTTTTCATTGAAGATTACCCTGATATATCTAGAAGCACTGCTCTGGAGCAGATGATGGGCCAAACAATGATGCTTTACTGTCAGCTGTGTAAAGTACTGCAGAGTAATACACACCAGACGTGCATGAGAGAATACTTGAGGGCTCTTGTAAGTAACAGCCCTGCATCAATCTCAAACCATGACCTCCAGTCATCCATTTTAGTCCATGATCCCCAGCCATACACTTATGCCCACGAATCCCAGCCATGCACCTTATCTGTGAAACAGTAAGGCCACACCAACCTTCTCCATTAATATCAGTGCAGCACCGTGTGACCCTTATGGGTTTAGTGCTGAGGTAAGTGTCATTTATTCTTTCTTCATTTAGTAGAGTAGTACATGCACAATATATATTGTGCATGTACTACTCTACTTTTGTGCATGTATCCTTCTTTTTGTGTGTAGGAAAATGTATATTTCATGTGGTAAATTTTTTTTTTTTTTTTCATACTTTTGGTTGTCTTGCACAGATTAATTTGGTTTTTATTATTTCTTATGGGGAAGATTAATTCAACCTACGATCATTTCATCTTATGATGGGCTCTCTGGAACAGATTAATATCGTAGATCGGGGGGCCACTGTACTCCGTTATGGAAAACTGGAGGAAATTATAGCTAGGACTGAGTGTACTACAAACTCTAATCACACAATAGAGCAGAAAAGTAATGTGAAGGACCTGGGTGTGGTAATGTCTGAAAATCTCACCTTCAGGGACCAGAACAATGCCACTATCACATCTGCGAGAAAACTGATAGGATAGATAATGAGAACATTCAAGACGAGATGCTAAGGCAATGATCCTTTTTAAATTGCTTATTCTCTCTAGGCTGGAATACTGCTGTACATTAACATCCCCATTCAAGGCAGATGAAACTGCAGATCTAGAAAATGTACAGAGAACCTTTACTGCACATATAAGTTCCATCAAACACCTTAAAACTACTGGGAGTGCCTGGAAGTACTTGACTTGTACTCACTGGAGTGCAGGCGAGAGAGATATATCATATAATTTACACCTGGAAGATTCTGGAGGGACTGGTTCCTAATCTGCACACAGAAATCACTCCCTACAAAAGCAAAAGACTTGGCAGGTGATGCAACATACCCCCAGTAAAAAGTAGGGGCACCACTGGTACACTAAGAGAAAACACAGTAAGTGTCCTGGGCCCAAGATTGTTCAACAGCCTCCCACCAGCCATAAGGGGCATTACTAATAGACCCCTGGTTGTCTTCAAGAGGGAACTGGACAGATACTTAAAGCTGGTGCTGGATCAGCCAGGCTGTGGTTCATATGTTGGACTATGTGTGGTCAGCAGTAACAGCCTAGTTGATCAGGTCCTGATCCACCGGGAGGCCTGGTCGTGGACCAGGCTGCGGTGGTGTTGATCCCCAGAATGCCCTCCAGGTAAACTGTACTCACATTGCTTGACTTTATTGGTTATGCTAGATTACGTACGTGTGCGGGTCAGATATTTTCAGTTTTAATAATAATGTAATTAATAATATCTTTATTTCTGCAAGTACAAGGTATACAGTCCTAGCTGACATCAGTGACATACTACTATATAGAAAGCCTCTTGTTATGCTGAGCATTTCGGGCAAATTAGGTCAGTTTTGTCCCAGGATGAGACCCACACCAGTCCACTAACACCCAGGTATCCATTTAATTGATGGGTGAACATAGACAACCGGTGTAAAGAAACACGCACAGTGATTCTACCCTCGCCGGGAATCGAACCCGGACACTCGCCGTGTGAAGCGAGAGTTTAAGCCACCAGGCCATGGTTCTGTATACTTAAATGCATTCTTTCTTCATATATCGTATGATAAAGCTTGAAGAATGAATATAGAGTGTAATACTACTGCATATAGACCCCTTAAGTAAGTTTATTCGGGTGTACACAAATACAATTACATAGATTATAATTATAAATAGCACCATGTGTAGAGAACCTAGGATAACCCAAAAAAGTCAGTGATTTGCTTGTATTTCTATTAGGGTTCTTTTAATACCTTATTATTATACTATGAAGGAGATAATAACTTATTCACAGTAAAGGAGATATACTAGGAATAAGGTAAAAAGAGTTATTTACAATTACATGTGTGTTACCTAAAAAAAATAATCATTCTCCTCCCTTTCTGTCGCTACATTCATTAGGTACCTTTTGGTTCTCTTTTTGAACTGGTTCATGCTATGACTGGCTTTGACATGTGCGGGCAGTCTGTTCCATTCCTTTATTGCTGTACAATAAAATGTATTTGAAGCCTGGCCACTGACTGTGGGTACTACAAAATTGTGCTCTCTCCCCCTAATAGGTTTAGAGCTCCCCCATGATTATAATAATAATAATTATCTCCCCCTAGTACTATGATTGCTTTGACATAATTGGCAGCAAGATATTCTGGACACTGTTCATGAGCAATTTTATAAACTTGATTTAACTTTAAATTGTTTTACTCTGTCTTCAACATTCAGCATATTCAGGTGTTGTAATTCATCCTGGCCTTATCTGACATTTTTTTTGTAGGGTTATCCTAGGTAATTTACACTATATAAGATAGTTGTACTTGTGTGTACCTGTGACTTAATAAACTTAATTGAACTGTATATATCATTGCTTAGTTAATCTTAAGTTAATTTTAAGCTTGCCCATAATGCTCTGCATACAAGGGGCTTTTGGCATGTGCACCCAGTCACTATATTTCTTTGTACAACTATGTATCATGTCCAAATAAAAAATAAATAAATAAAAATAAATAAATAAATAAATAAATTAAATTATCCTGTATCATACAGTGATGTAGTATCATGCTTTAATGTGTCCATAACATCTTTGTGCCTTTGAAAATCTTTGTGCGATACTTAGTTTTTCATTTTAGATGAATTCTTTCTTTCAACACACCGGCCGTATCCCACCGAGGCGGGGTGGCCCAAAAGGAAAAATGAAAGTTTCTCCTTTTACTTTCTTTCTTTCAACACACCGGCCATATCCCACCAAGGCAGGGTGGCCCAAAAAGAAAAACGAAAGTTTCTCTTTTAAATTTAGTAATTTATACGGGAGAAGGGGTTACTAGCCCCTTGCTCCCGGCATTTTAGTCGCCTCTTACAACACACATGGCTTACGGAGGAAGAATTCTGTTCCACTTCCGCATGGAAATAAGAGGAAATAAACAAGAACAAGAACTAGAAAGAAAATAGAAGAATACCCAGAGGGGTGTGTATATATATGCTTGTACATGTATGTCTAGTGTGACCTAAGTGTAAGTAGAAGTAGCAAGACATACCTGAAATCTTGCATGTGTATGAGACAGAAAAAAAAAAGACACCAGCAATCCTACCATCGTGTAAAACAATTACAGGCTTCAGTTTTACACTCACTTGGCAGGACGGTAGTACCTCCCTGGGTGGTTGCTGTCTACCAACTTACTACCTAGATGAATTGTACATATAAAAGAAAAGTCGTTTGGCATTTTTAGAGGTGGCATTGAATGTAATCCAGTTTTTTCCATAAGTTACTCTGCCCATTTCATTTTCAGACACAGCTCTGTTTTTCTGAAATGTAACGCACATGAAGAGCAGTTGTCCACTGTACATATGTTTGTGCATGTTTTGACACAGGTGGTATTCATTGAGTGGGTACTGGCTGTCAACTGTGTGGTATTGTCTATCAGCTATGTGGTATGCTTGACCCATGAAAAATTAAGTGATCATTTAGAAGGCATCCACAGGAAGCTGATAGAATAATGGGTGACCTGATACAATAAGGGGTGACCAGTCCTTTAAAAGAAGAAACAACTGAGTAACGACCTGGTGGTTAAGGAAGTTTGACTGTACAGTATCTGTAGAATAACAGAAATATCTAGTAGAGAAAAAAATTTTGAGTGTTTCATACATAATAAAGACCCTCTTGTGTTTCTAATCTTGACTTTGTCAATAAAATGATTAATTTTATTTTATATACACTACCTAATACAATTTACTTACATTTTTCTCTACATTGTATATTTCTCATTCTTTAATTATTTTATGATTAATTTTTCAATCAAGATTACTACACTAGCAGTAGGGTTATAACATTGCCTTGAACTATGCAGTATTTTTTTATTTATTCTTTTCTTGTGTACATCAGAGCTGAACCCGGAACATCGGAAGAGCGAGACCCGTTCTTACCAGGCCGAGGGTCAAGAGGAGGAACACTGACCTCTCTTGGAGCGCCAGGTTACTCCAGACCACGCCACTCACACACACCACCTCAGACACCACCTTTTCCCGGAACTTTGTGAGTTTCCTAACTTCAGCAATTAGTAAATTGATTTTTTGCAGTAATGATATACCACATGGAATAGAAACATTCACTGGAATAAATGGTACTGAGATGCAGTGCATACCCTTTTTAATGACAGTGTTTTGCACATGAAGGGGCTTTATCAAGTCAGTGATTTGCCCACTTTATCAAGTCAGTGACTTGATAAAGTGGGCAAGATGTTGTCCTTAATGAAGGTGTCCACTGTATATCAAGGTCATTTACAGCATCTTGTCAGTATTTACATGTATTCCTGCTAGTGAAGCATTCACTATACTGTACACCACTTTATTAATTCTGTTTAGCAATGAAGTTTGTCAATAAAATATTGAATGTGTTTGCAAACTATTGAACAAGAAGAAAATCTTCACAATACAAAGGCAATTGTAAAAATCTATTTGAAAACAACATGGAAATCTTTCCACTGTAATTCGTGTTTTGAAAAATCCGCACTTCAGTTATTTCCTGCAGTATATAGATCAGTTGACTTCATGTTATATATTAATGAGTTTGGTGGAAAACTTGTATGTGTAAGGGTTTGGAAGACTGAAAGTATTAGTTTAATATCTTTATTATGTACCCCATCCTCATCCTGCAAGTAGTAATCAAGAGATTACGTAGGTACATAAGGGGTCCAAGGGATTGGGCTGCAAAGTTTTGATAGCTGAAAGTATTACTCCATTATTATTTCATCAGTACATTGGAACCTTGGTTTTAGTGATTAATTTGTTCCAGAAAGTCTGACGAAAGCCGAATTGTACGAGAACTCAAGCAATACACTGGACCCTCGACCAGCGATGGCATCGTCTAACGATAAAATCGCCTAATGATGTGTTTGGGTGTAAAAATTTTGGCCCGACCAACGATGAAAAACTTAACTAACAACATTTGTCCCGAACACGTCCACGCATCCGTCTGGCCTGAGCGTGCCTCAGCTACCCGGCCTTCAGTTAGTGTGCCATTGTTTACAAGCCAGTCTGGTTGGTTCCACGCATACACTCAGTACACTTTGTATTATTCCAGTGTTTTTAGTGCCTGTAACTGCTAAATAAGCCACCATGGGCCCAAAGAAAGCTTCTAGTGCCAACCCTGTGGTAAAAAGGGTGAGAATTACAATCGAATTGAAAAAGGAGATAATTACCAAGTATGAAAGTGGAATGCGTGCCTCTGAGCTGGCCAGGTTGTATAACAAACCCCAATCAATCATCGCCACTATCTTGGCCAACAGAAAGGCAATCAAGGAAGCTGTTGTTGCAAAAGGTGCAAGTATGTTTTCGAAACAGAGATGGCAAATACTCGAAGATGTTGAGAGACTGTTGTTGTTGTGGATAAACGAAAAACAAATATCAGGAGATAGTATTTCTCAATCAATCATATGTGAAAAGGCAAGGCAGTTGCATGACGATTTAATTAAAAAAATGCCCACAACTAGTCGTGATGTTGTTGAATTTAAGGCCAGCAAAGGCTGGTTTGAGAGATTTAAAAGCCGTAGTGGCATACACAGTGTGGTAAGGCATAGAGAGGCTGCCAGTTCGGACACAAAAGCGGCTGAAAAATATGTGCAGGAATTCAAGGAGTACATAGACACTGAAAAATTAAAACCCCATCAAGTGTTTAATTGTGACGAAACAGGCCTGTTTTGGAAGAAAATGCCAAACAAGACCTACATTACACAGGAGGAAAAGGCACTGCCAGAACACAAGCCTATGAAAGACAAGGTAACCCTAATGTTTTGTAGTAATGCTAGTGGGGATTACAAAGTGAAGCCTCTACTCATGTATCACTCTGAAACTCCCAGATTGTTCAAGAAAAACAGTGTTATCAAGGCTAATTTGTGTGTGATGTGGAGGGCAAACAGTAAGGCATGGGTCACTATGGACATTTTCTGTGATTGGTTTTATCATGTGTTTGGCCCCACTGAAAAATTACCTCCTGGTATTAGACAGTGCTCCTGCTCATCCTTCAGACTTGCCAGAGTGAATTGCGGGGACTTGAGTTTTATCGAAGTCAAGTTCTTGCCTCCTAATACCACTCCTCTCCTCCAGCTCATGGACCAGCAGGTCATTTCAAATTTCAAAAAACTGTACACCAAAGCAGTGTTTCAAAAGTGCTTTCAAGTGACCTCAGACACTCAATTGACCCTAAGAGACTTTTGGAAAGACCACTTTAGTATACTCAATTGCATAAACCTTATAGGTAAGGCTTGGGAGGGAGTGACTAACAGGACCTTGAACTCTGCTTGGATGAAATTGTGGCCACAATGTGTACAAGAGAGGGATTTTGAAGGGTTTGGGGCTAACCCTCAGGAGCCTATGCCAGTTGTGGAATCTATTGTGGATTGGGGAGGTCCATGGGGTTGGAGGTTAGTGGGGAGGATGTGGAAGAGTTGGTGGAGGATGATGATGAAGAACTAACCACTGATGAGCTGCAATAGCATCTGCAACAGCAAGAGATCACAATTGAAGAAATTGCTTCAAAGGAAGGGAGAGAGAGATGGAGGAAGCTGCCTTCTTCAATGATTAAGGAAATTTTTGCAAAGTGGGTTGACGTGCAAACCTTTATGAATGAAAATCACCCTGACACAGCTATTGCAAGCCATGCTGGTGACTTTTACAATGACAATGTTGTGGCCCATTTTAGGAAAATCTTTAAGGAATGCGAGGTACAGAGCTCTATGGACAGATTTTTGGTGCGATAGAGGTCCAGTAACTCTCAAGTTGTTCCCAGTGGCATTAAGAAAAAGAAGGGAAGTAACCCCAGAAAAGGAATTAGTACCTAAAGTCTTTATGGAAAGGGATTCCCCTTCCAAACATTAACACACCTCCATCTCCCCTCCTCTCATCTCATCACTCATCACTACATCTTCAATAAAGATAAGTGTCATTTATTCTTCATTTAGTACAGTATTTATTGTGCATGTATCCTCCTTTTTCTGTATATTTCATGTGAAAAATGTATATTTCAAGTGAAAAAAAAAAATTCATACATTTGGGTGTCTGGAACGGATTAATTATATTTCCATTATTTCTTACGGGGAAAATTAATTCGGCTGACGATAAATTCGCCTAAGGACAAGCTCTCTGGAACGGATTAATATCATTGGTAAAGGGTCCACTGTATTTCCCATAAGAAATAATGTAAATCCAATTAATCTGTTCCAGACACCCAAAAATATTAACAGAAAATGCATTTTATAGAGAATAACTATGGTTTTACATACAGAAGACAGTGAGAAATAAATACACCTACCATCTGACTTACGACTGAGCTTATTTCCAACTAACTGGTCGTAAGTCAAAATGGACGTAAGTCAAACCTTACTGCTGAATATCAGCTTCACATTAAGTAATGATTTTATTTTATTGTTTTATTTTGGTATTTCATTTTTTACTTTACTTTCTATGCTGTTAGTACTGTATTTTATATGGTAATGTTTAGGAGACACACTGTGTACAACATAAACAGTTGTTTATTTCCCAGAACATCTGCATACAAAATATGGTCATAAGTCGAGTGGTCATGTGCCGAGCAGGTTGTAAGTCAGATGGTAATTGTATAAATGACTAATGAAATGGAAAAATGAACATTTAATATCACTTTTACCTTTATTGAAGACTCTTGTTGGCGTATGGAAGACAGCAAGAGGGGAGAGGGAGGAGGAGAGGTTATTGTTTGAAAGGGGAGTTTCCCTCCATTAGGACTTAGGTATTAAGGCCCTATCCGGGGTTACTTCCCTTCTTTGTCTTTTACTGGCACTAGGACCAGCTTGAGAGTCACTGGACCCCTATTGCAAAAAAAATCTGTCCGAAGAGGTCTGTTTCTGGCATCTCTTTAAGATATGCCTAAAATGGGACAAGGCATGGTCATTGAACATATTGCAGACAGCTTGCAACAGCTTTGTTAGGGTGATATTTCTCCACAATGCAACTCATTCCACTTTGCACACATGTCCTTAACCCTTAAACTGTCCTAACATAGATCTACATTCGATTTTACATGCTTTCTTATGTAAAAAAACTTAGATCTATATTAGGAGCGCTACGCGAGTGAACATAGATCTGTTTGGACAGTTTAAGGGTTAATCGCTGAAGAAGGCACATTCTCACAATGCTTTCTCAATGAGAAACAAAGCCAGACTGAGTCAGAACACGTGGGATGCTTTGTGTGGGTGCGGGCAGGCAGACGTGTTTGGTACGGTGAACCATTGTCAACCCTACAAAAACCGAGTGGATATACGAAAACTGGGACAAAATTTCGACGAAAAAAGTTGTTGAAAACCGAATCCTACGAAAACCAGGGCATACGAAACCGAGATTCCGCCTGCTTTTATGTATTTTTTAATTTTTTTTATATTAACACAGCCATTTCCCACTAAGGCAGGGTGGCCAAAAAAAAAAAAACTTTCCTCATCATTCACTCATCACTGTCTTGCCAGAGGCATGCTTACACTACAGTTATAAAACTTCAGCATTAACACCCCTCCTATATTCTGTACTATTTTTCAAAGATGGTTTTTGACTCTCATTCTTATGTATTGATGTGCTTTGTTAATTGGCATGATTTATTAAATCAGAAGATATCTGAACAAAGGGTTTAACAAACCCTGTCATTGTGTCTAGTGAAACTGGAATTGTTTCACTGGTTTAGGTTACATGGTTTAGATTGAGTTGTTATTGTACACTTATGGGTTGAAGTGACTTAGTGGCAGCTTGGATGTCTGACACAGCTTAAGTAGGTGAGGAAGTGCAGGTTACTGAAGTGTAGAGTGCTGGTGCTCTCTCTCTCTCTCTCTCTCTCTCTCTCTCTCTTTCTCTCTTCCTGTCTCTCTCTCTTTCTCTCTTTCTTTCTCTCTTTCTCTCTCTTTCTTTCTTTCTCTCTCTTTCTTTTTTTTTTACACAGGGTTTGACAAGGTTAAGGATCCCTAGCTTTATTGAGAAGCTATTTACAGGTTAAGGATTCCTAACTTTATTGACAAG